ATTTTGGTGGTGTTGTGGGTAAGGATGAGTAGTTTGGTTTTGCTGTTTTGATTGTTGGTTGTTGTTGTAGCTGTGAGTGTGTTTGATGAGGATGAGGATGAGGACTAGAAAAAGAATAATGGACGACGAGGACTTCGTCCGTCTTTTATAGACAAGTTTGATCAAGAGACAGTCGATGTGCATCCACCATGATCTCGTATTTTCATCGTTCTCTCACACACATTTGGCGACTCGACCTTGCTTTGTGTTCTTGTCTTGTTTCTATTTTCGATATCGCGCAGCCAGCATCGAGCAATCGACGACACTCATTGGATGCTTAGCACCACCCGCTCTCTCACACCCATCCGAGCCTAGCTCTGGCTTTGGCCAGGGTCATTCTCGTGTTTTCGTGTTTCCCGGGACCAGGATACAAAAGGAACTGCATCCTATATCTCTGAGGTCATTCGGCTGACTCTGCATCCCAGCCGAGTCGTGTTGGGCCGCGCCCAAGTGTGCATGGTGTACGATGAAGACGTCGTATGTAACCATTTGTAGTGCGAGAAGCTCCTCAGACCTAACCTTGCCGTGCGAGTCGTGGCTTTGTCCTGAGGTGCTGCAGAGACCCTGGTCGTCCATCATCTCGTAAACGTACAGCGCCCCGCCTCCCCATTGCCGATCCAGGGTCCCAAGCAGCCAACCGGGACCGGCAGAAACGCAAAGGCAGCGCAGGCCTCTGAGAAGGCAGAATACGGGGTAAGCGCAGTTCCACACGTTCCGACGTAAACGTAAAAATTAAAAATAACTCCTGATCCGCACCCAACCTTATTTGACATACATGGCAGCGGTCACTAGCAAAGGCTAGCACCACGTCTTATTTTCTTTCATGTTTTCTTTGTTGTCTAAACTGCCAGTCGTCAATTTCTTGGCTACAACGGCCCGACGTCAAGCCACAAAGTAACAACACAACGTAACAAGGCGAGTAGAAGGGCCATTCGTGAATGGACCAGCGGCTGCCTACAGACAAAGAAAAGGGCACGCCGAGAAACGACAACGGACAGCCACCGAAGCCAGGGAGACCAATAGGCGCGTTGTGAACAACACTCGAAGTACTAGAAGCACTAGAAGCACTACGTGTACTTGGACGAATTTTAGCTGTGGAAACGAAACTTGCTTTAATCGTCTTGCACATGGATGGCCATCAGCTGATCGAGGGGCCGTCGGTAGGGCCGTACGCTGCGGGTTTCAGATGCAAGAAAGGAACAGAAGAGATAAGACCAAGATAATAAAAGCGCTCACTTGCACGGCCTAGTGAGAGTCATGCAAGTCAAAGCAGAGCAGGAGAGTGATGGTAGTCCGCTGCAAGATGCAAAGAAGAAAAATATGAGCTTCCTGCGGAACAATAACATGTAGTACAGGGGGATCGAAGGCTGAGGCTGACGCCGAGTTGGCAGCCGTCCAGGATTCTCCACATTTTCGGGGCATTTGCCACTCAGCGTTGGCAGTGTTGACAAGCAGTGTTGACGTCTCAGCCGTGCGGTAGTGTCGTCATATTATGCAGCATCTGCCGGGACACGACAGTGAAGAAAGCCATCACCTCGCAGATGCTACGTTGAACAAAGATGTCGCAGTTGTCCTCTGCATTTTGCATCCCCGGAAGCTGGGGAGCTGGAAAGCTGCAAAGTCCAGGAGGGTGTCCCAGGTGCCGGAAACGTGGGAGTATGTGTGGCTGTCATGTGCTGCAAAGTCCACCGTGAAAGGTGAAGACTGACGGCAGTGCAGCGCCCAGTCTACCCCAAAAGATACATTCGTGAACCTTGGATCCCGCGCTGCTCCAGATCCCGTGCGGCACAATACGAGATGCCACTTGCCGTAATGTTCTATCTGCTTTCTTTACTCTGCCTTCTCGCTTGGCTGTCTCGTAGCCTTTGCCCTTTGCCTTCTGTGTCGACCCAGGATGCCGTCTCTATACACGAGCTAGACAACGTAGAGGAGGCGCCATAATATGATTAGAATCATGGCCATTGGAATCAACGACTAGTATCATAACCAAGGTACGACAGAGTGGCCGTCGTCATACCCAACTCGAGTCATGTTTGCAGAGTTGGTTTGGTGTTGGTCAGACAATCCGTCGGCATCTGCCTCGTTATGCCGACCGCCAAGCATCGCATAACTCGTATTTGTGCACAGATGCCTTGTTTTCGTGTCGTCGTTCCCGTTATGTTGCGTGTCAATACGTTGCCGCACGTCCACCTCCACGCTCCAGCTTTTCGTTGCCTCAGCCCTACCGCTGCTCGTCTCCGCCGTTTTGGTAGCTGTCTGCCGCAAGGTGGTGGTTTAGTGGTGGCCGGTCCGCTGTCACCGCTTCTAAAAATACGACAGAGCTCAGGCATTAATTACGTAGCTATGTCCATGACTACAGTATATCGGCTACGCCAGGCGTCTTGCAGGGCTCCAACCACACGCAAGCCAACAAGACCACCAGTCTGCCTCGCCATTGTGTCGGAATCCTGTTTACAAATTTGCCTACGAATTGTGTTACAGCACGCCGCTAGCAAACGAGCGTCCTCGACCGGACCTTTGCAGCGAAGTCACCGAACCCACAGCGAATCCTGGCGCAGTCCTAGCGCATTCCCAACATCCTCAGCACACCCACAGCGCGTCCGTTCCCCACAAATCGCTAAGCCAGAATCGTCTTCTTGGTGGGTTTGGGGCCATTCAATTGCCGTCGATCTCCTCTTGGCGGCCTGCAACGTCATGTCTACCTCGTATTTGCGGCAGAGAGGGTGTCAACGCGAGAACGAACAGTGGCAACGAGGACGGGCCAAAAGAGGTGTGAGAAAATGGGGCTTATGCGGCGAATGGCAAAACAAGTCTTTGCAAAGGACCGTCTCTAAAATAAGAAACTAAAGGAAACAAAGACGATGAGTGGCCAACGCATTTCGCAGAGTCTTATTTGATCCAAGAGGGTTCCCGAAACCGAACAGAACAATGCCACGGTCACTGGACCAATACAAACAGACTCCCGCAGATTCGCTTCCCTACCCGATCTAGCAGTACATATCACCACTGTGTCACAGTACGAGAAGAACGTGATCCAACGTTGTGGTCCTCGTCCTTCATTTGTATCCAGAGAAGCAACAGCCTCTCTGGCAGTCAATACTCTTAAAAGTCATAAATTACACTTTGCGGCTATCTTATATGGTACTTGTCTTCCTCGCATGCAGCCAACCGTCGTCTACTGCGCCTTGCTGGCCAGGCTAGCCGTCCGCGTGGTGCTGTTGGGGTCGAGGTACGGCTTCTCGCCGATGCCGACGGCGCGGTGGCCGAAGCGGTCGCCGAGGCCGTCGTAGTCGTTGGTGGCGCTGTGGAAGGCGCTGCGGTTGTCCCAGATGGCCAGGTCGTTCTGGTTGCGCCACTTGAAGCGGACCTGCAGGTCGTGGTTCTCCTCGATGCGCTTGTAGAACAGGTCGAGCAGCTCCCGGCTCTCCTTGGCGCTGAGCTCGTTGATGCGCTGCGGGAAGTTGCCAATGGCAAAGATGGACTTCCAGCCCGTCACGGGGTTCGTGCGCACGACCGGGTGCACGGCCTCCAGGTCTTTCCCGCTGTTGGCCGGGTTGCCGCGCGCCTCCTCGTAGAGCTGGAACTTGTCAGGGCGCGCGGCGGCTGCCTTGAGGAAGCCCTCGCCCACGAACTTCGCCGTCAGGCCCTCGAAGAAGGTCTGGTAAGCCGCGCTGAAGCGGTCGTAGAGCTCGTACCCCGACGCCCACAGCGTGTCGCCACCCGTCTTGGGCAGCTCCGTCAGCCGCAGGCTGGTGTAGTCGGCCGGGAACCGCTCGAACTGGATGTCCGAGTGCCACGTGGCGGCGCCGCCGTGGCGGTCGTCGCGGTCGCGCTGGGCCTCGGCGTAGCTCTTGAACGCCTTGGACGAGATGGTGCTGATCTCGTTGTCGCTGACGCCAAACTCGCTAGTGCTGTTGAGCAGCGGGTGGATGTGCAGCGTCGACTCCTTGGGCTTCTGGCTGAGCTCGCCGAGGCGCTGCACCAGCACCTTTTGCAGGTCGTCGGTGAGGTTGTCCTGCTTGCGGAAGAAGACGACGCCGCGCTGGGAGACTGCGGCGTGGGTGGTCAGCAGACTAAACACCGCAGACGGAAACTGAAATCACTTGCAACACAACCCAGAGACCTACTTGTGATGGCCAAGTCCTTGAGCAGGTCGTCGGCGTTCTTGGCGTTGAGAATGTCGTCGACAATGTTGACCGACGGGAACTCGCGGCCAATCACAGGCGTCGACTCTTCGTACTGGAACTGCTCCAGCGCACCCGTCAGCTCCAGCGGCTTGCGGTGTGCTGCAGGCGTCTCAACAGGGGCCTCAACAGGGGCCTCCACAGGCGCCGGGGGCGCTGTAGAGCCCGCCTCCACCTGCGTCGTCAGGACCGTCTCCGTCCGGGTTTCTGTGGCAGTGGCAGACATGTCGTGTGTGTGTGTGTATGCGATTTTGTGTATTCTGCAATGCTGATAATACCGACCTAGTAAGACTCCCTCCGCCACCCCAACGTCGTCCTACATGTTTACTTTATACTTTTTGGCCAACATGGCAATGCGACCACACGCTGGACGTCGACTTGGTCTAGGCACTACCAAAATACACTGCAAAATGCGACTTAGAGGCACCAAAAATTCACCATCGCGCTAGAGAATGGCGGCATCGCGGAAAGGGTCCCAGATTCCCTCACTAAAATGATGTCAACCAGGCTAGCTCGCGGCTCTCAGTGCGCGACACGCTTACATGACCGAGTTTCGTGCCCCACGACATGACATATGTCAACACACACTGCCGTCGATGCGTCGCTCCGACTGGCTACGACTGGCCCTGACTGGCTACGACTGGCCCTGACTGGCTACGACTGGTTATGGATGGCTGTCGTCATTGCCTCTAACGCAACGTTTGGCATCCCGAGCATACCAAAGATAACGAAATTGTGTCATGTACGACATCCACGTATGCTAAGAAAACGGCCGCAATGACAGATGACAGACAACGACACATGTCGCGCCCAGGCGTGCGTTGTGCGTCATGCTGCCAGCCTTGGCCAGCCCGATTGCCGGTTGATACATGGGAGGAGGAGACAACAGACAGGGTACGAGTCATGTAGGTCGTCGTACCTGCGCTGATACGTCCTCAGAGAGGTGGGTCGCCCTCAGATCAAGGGATTTGAGGTGAGGCAGAGACAAGGCAGCGGATGGCACATGTCGTGCCTTGCCACGCACGTTTACCTTGCCCAAGACGCCGGGGGCGTCGGCAAGGGAGAGATCCGTGTGGACATGACAGACTCGAGAGAGTCCATCGTGTCGTAAGATCTGGAGGGAACACACGACGCAGAGGGCATGACATTTGCATGTGTTGGATGGGCGGAGGATTGATTTTGTTACGCAACCCGATAAGAAACATGAACGAGGATGAGTTTATGAGTGTGCACTACTCCTGTCATTGTTTCCCCAGAAGAGAGATAGAGGATAGACATTGGAGCACGTCTAGACAGACACGTTTCAACCTACAAAGTCGTCAAATATGTCGCTTGTAAAACATAAAGAAACGCTCGATCTTGTATTGTCGGCTTTTTTGTTTTTTTGTTTGTTTGTTTTTTGACGTGACATTATTATCTTGAATCCCGGCTGACTTTGTCTTTGTTTAAATCATTACATATTATTCTTCACTTTTTTAATGCGAACTTTAATGAAACGACCAAAAAAAAAAAAAAGCCCAAAAATACCTACAATACAACATATTTACATATATAAAAAGAGAAATCTCTCTCAAACCAAAAAGTACAACTACTGTTAGGAATAGACCAGGGCGACGTCTGTTGAACTCTTGTCTACCGGAGGCATATGACTTATGAGAGAACTGGCGAACAATGTCGAAAACAAAACCGGCTGGCAGCGTGCAGCAACGTAGATTCCTTGACAACTACACCACGTTATCAAAATGGATACCCGGTAACCAATGTCAGACCAAATTGAACTCATACATCCATAACCTCCCATCTTTCATGCGTCGATGACGGTTGACGACATTGAACCCTGAAGCGAGGCCGGCGCTGTAGATTTGGCGGGCCACTCTTTCTGGTTAGCGCTTCACCTCGACAATAGCTCCCATTGGCTCAGAGAGGTGTTGCCCCTGACGACAATAGGGGTAGTTTTGGTCGGCTAGTTGCACGTGTTATTTCACGTGCCGTACCTTGGGCAGCAGACTGCAGTGTGGCCCATTGTTTATTACCCCACGCCGGGAGAAACAACCGCCAACTTGTGGTGGGTTTTGGGCATTGGGTGTTTGTGAGCGGCAGGTACCTGAGCCACAACCGCGAACCACATCCAGAGACGCGACAACAAATCGAAACTTTTGGCGACGAGACTTCGCGACAACGGCTTGCACAACTCTTTGAGACGACGTTTGACCGACGACGGCACGAACGATACCCATACACATAGAGATACCCCTACAGATACCCATGCAATCAATTCGAACACTGCACACGACATAGGGGCAGACCGACAAAGTACAAATCACCTTCGACCCCTTTCCACACAACACCATGGCGGAACCCGAAGAGGACTTTAGTTCCTTGCCGCTGCCCGACCGATTTGTGCACAAGGTAAGAGGGCCAGGGCAATGGGGAGAGAAGGAGATGCAGTCGAGGCAGAGGGTCTGGTTGCTGACGCCGGCAGAACTGGAAAGTACGGAAACAGGCCTACGAAGACGCCGCGAAGCAGTTTGAGCGCACGCCCGACGAGTCCGACCCAGCCTTCCGACCGTTCCTGCAGGATGCGAGCCTGTGGAAGGGCGCCGTCGCCGACTCCAATGTCGCCGCCCAGCAGGACGGCATCGCCGCCCTCGTCGCGTTCCTGCAGTACGGCGGCCGCGAGAACAGCGTCCGCACCCGCAGCGCGACCGTCAGCAGCCTCGTCGAAAAGGGCCTGTCGTCGACGCGCGCCGCCACCAAGGCCTCGGCGCTCGAGGCGCTGCTGCAGTACATTGAGCTCGACGTCGCCGCGCCCGTCGTCGAGGACATGCTGCCGTCCCTGGCCGCGAAGCAGCCCAAGGTCGTGGCCGCGTGCCTGGCGGCGCTGACGGCCATCTACCACGCGTACGGCTGCAAGATTGTCGACCCCAAGCCCGTGCTCAAGCTGCTGCCCAAGGCCTTTGGCCACGCCGACAAGAACGTGCGCGCCGAGGCGACCAAGCTGGCCGTCGAGTTCTACCGCTGGCTGCGCGAGGCCATGAAGCCCATGTTCTGGGGCGACCTGAAGCCGACGCAGCAGGCCGAGCTCGACGCCCAGTTCGAGGCCATCAAGGCCGCCAACGACGTGCCCAAGCAGGAACGGCTGCTGCGCACACAGCAGGCGGCGCGCGAGGTCGCGGCCGCGTCGGGTGGCGGCGCCGGCGAGATGGACGACGACGGCGGTGCGGGCGACGGCGGCGGCGGCGACGACCCGGGCGAGGTGGACGCGTTCGACCTGGCGGAGCCGCAGGACGTGCTGAAAAAGATACCGGGCGACTTCAGCGAGAAGCTGGCGTCGTCCAAGTGGAAGGACCGCAAGGAGGCCGTCGAGGCGCTGTATGCCGTGCTCAACGTGCCGCGCATCAAGGACGGCGACTTTGGCGAGGTCAACCGCGGGCTGGCCAAGTGCATGAAGGACGCCAACGTGGCCGTCGTCACGCAGGCGGCGCAGTGCATCGAGGTCCTCGCCAAGGGCCTGCGCAAGGGCTACGGCAAGTACCGCTCGGTGGTCATGCAGCCCATCCTGGAGCGGCTCAAGGAGAAGAAGCAGGCGGTGGCCGACGCGCTGGGCGCCGCGCTCGACCAGGTGTTTCTGGCGACCGATCTGAGCGAGTGCCTCGAGGACATCACCACCTTCTTGTCGCACAAGAACCCGCAGGTCAAGGAGGGCACCATGCGCTTCCTGATCCGGTGTCTGCGCACGACGCGGACCGTGCCGAGCAAACAGGAGATTGCCACCATTGTGGAGGCGGCCAAGAAGCTGCTGGCCGAGGGCAGCGAGGGCCTGCGGTCGGGCGGCGCCGAGGTCTTGGGCACCGTGATGAAGATTATCGGCGAGCGCGGCATGAACCCGCACCTCGAGGGCCTCGACGACATCCGCAAGACCAAGATCAAGGAGTTTTACGAGACCGCCGAGGTCAAGGCCAAGGAGAGGCCCAAGGCAGTGGCCCCGCCCCCCGCACAACGGGCACCGGGCGGCCCGCCCAAGAAGGTCATGGGTGGCGGCCTCAAGAAGGGCCCCTCACCACTGAAGAAGGCGGCGCCGGCAGCGGCCGCAGCTGCGGCGAGAGACGAGCCAGCACCAGCACCAGCAGCGGCGGCACCACCACGGCCCGCCGGCGGCAAGCTGGGCATGCCAAAACCGTCCGGTCTCGGCGGCATGAAGCCGCCAACAAAGCGCACGCTGGCCGGCCCCGGCCCCCTGTCACCACGCCGCGTCGCTGCGCCCCCGCCCGCCCCTGCCTCGCCACCCCTCGACTACGACGAACCCGAACCTGCCCCGACAACGCCGGCCCCACAACCGCGCGTCGGCCTCGGCCGGCCGGGCCTCGCAGCACGGTCACTGGCCAAGCCGTCCGCTCTCGCAGCGGCCCCCGCCGCCGCGCCGCCGTCGCCCACACCCCAAATGTCCGGCCTGATGGCCGTCGAACGTGCCGAGCTCGAAGAGCTGCGGCTGGCCAACGACCGTTTGCTGCGCAACGCGGACGAGTCGCGGCAAGAGCGCGCCCGCTTCCTGTCCGAGATCCAGGAGCTCAAGAACCAGAACGCGGGCCTGATCGAGGACCACACGCGCAACATGCTGAGCATCAAGGCCAAGGAGACGCAGCTCGTGCGCGCCCGCAGCGACGCCGAGGCTGCTGAGCAGACCAACGAGCGCCTGCGCCGCGAGCTGGACCGGCTGAAGCGCGCTCTCAACAAGGCCGAGGCGGCCCTGGTCAACGGCGCGGGTGTCGGTGCGGGCACGAGTGCCTCCGTAGGCAGCCCCAGTCCGGGCCCCGGTGCCGGTCCCGGCTTTGCCTCGCCCACCCACGACGATGCCGGCATCTACCGCGACGGCGCCTACCCGACGAGCGCCAGCCGCAACCGCATCAGCTACGCGAGCACCATGTCTGAGGAGAAGGAGAACGGCGAGCTGGCCGCCGCCTACCCGCGGAGCAAGCTGAGCCCGGATCTGCGGTACGGCGGAGGCTCCAGTGGACGCGGCAGCCCGGCCCGCGGGTTCCGGCGGGATCTGGCGTCGGGCACAGACGACATTCACGTCGGTCCGCCGAGTGCAGGCGGCGGCCGGTTTGGCATGGGCGGTAGTGCTGGCAGCGGAGGTGGTGGTAGTGGTGGTGGTGGTGACCGTGGCAGCACGGGCAGCCTTGGCGGCGTATCATCGTCCGGCGGCGGCGGCAGCGGCGGCGCTGTGGCTGGGCAGGAGAGCTGGAAACGGGCAGCCGAGGTGACTAACCAGCTCAAGGCACGGATCGAGCAGATGAAGGCCAAGCAAGGGATCAAGCGAGGGTGAGCGAGGAAGAGCCGGAGGGTGGGGGGTTGTTGATGGACGGTGTTTCTTTTCTTTTTTTTTTCTTTGCATTTTTGTGCACGTCGTTTCTTACGTGTTCTCATATTCCTTTTTGTATTAATTGTGACTTGATAATTCCCTTGTTTACGAGCGGCGTTTTTGAGCGGCAGAGGGACATGATGGTTGAGAGGACAAATACAAAAAAGATGACATCGTCGAACAACAAGGTTCTTGCACCACGAAAAAAAGAATGGCTCCGCTGGGACTCGAACCCAGGACCTTCTGCGATTTTGATGCTGTGAAGCAGACGTCGTAACCAACTAGACCACGGAGTCAGTTTGGATGCTGATGCGGATCTCGGGGTATATCGTGATGTCTTATGGGAAAGATTGTGAACGTTTCCTTTGAAATGAACGATTGGAAGTATTAAACGCATGGATAGAACGAATTTCAGCAAACAGCAGTTTACGCCTTACAAAACAGCATAAAAAACACTTTCAAAAGCAAGAGTCCAGCTCATATCAACGTACGACCTACGAATTACACAACAATCCGTCACCGCTCAGCACATTCCCATGTCCCTCATCCTTCCTTGATCAATCAAACCCATCTGGCTGTAGCGTCCCCTAATGGAAATCGCCGACGTCAGGACCAAAGTGCTCGCCCGGGGCCAGATGCTTCAGAACGCACGACGTGGCCTCGCAGCCCATGGCGACCACGTTGTTGCCCCACCAGTCGAGTTGAATGTCGTTGTACTGCAGCGCAAAGAACATGACGATGCCGGCCACGGCGACGCCGGAGCTGAAGCTCGCGCTGAGGACGTAGTTGTAGCGCGACCAGAAGGCGAGGAAGCGCTGGCGGACGACGATCCACGACACGAAGCTGACGGGGACCGTCGGCCAGGTGTACATCATGTTGTAGGGGGTCAGGTTGAGGGCACCGGCCAGAAAGGCAATGGGATGGGCTTGGCGGGCCCAGCGGACGACGGTGGCCTTGCGGCCGGCGACGGCGCCGTCGCTGGACGCGCGAAGCTGGCCGGTCTGGGCGTCGACGTCGCGGGCCTCGTCGCGGGCGCGCAGCGTGCGCTGGACCCACCAGAAGAGGACGGGGACGAGGGCGCCGAGGGGGAAGCCGACGAGCATGGCGGTGTACTGGCCTCCGCGGCCAAAGACGCGCTGGGGCCCGATGGTGCCCCAGAGGACGGCGGCGGTGAAGAAGGTGTTGATGCCGGGGCAGGTCATCTTGTTGGGGGCGGCCTCGGTGCAGACGTGGGGGATCTTGTTCATCTGGAAGTTGAGGACGCCGGTGCACACGAGGCACGAGACGACGGTGGCGACGAGCTGGGCGCTGAAGGTGTAGCGCGGCGGGATCTTGAGGTAGTGGGCGAGCTTGAGGTCGCCCGAGAAGCGCAGGGCGGAGGCGCAGGTGACGTAGCCGTAGGCCTTGAAGTAGTTCATGGCCAGGGCGTTGCCGCCGGACCAACTGCCGCCGATGAACTCGGCCAGCACGTTGAGCGTGACCTCGATGCCCGTCATGGCCTTGACGATGCCGACGGGGATGACAAAGACGACGCACAGCACGATGCCGTAGAAGACGACCCCGGGCGTCGTGTACGTCTGCCACCCGGCGATGCCGGCGACGCCAAAGGCCACGGCGGCCAGCAGCACGGCCATGTACCAGAGCTCGGACACTTCGGGGTACGCGGCCATGAGGCGGTTGTGCACGTCCTGGTACGTGCTGGAGGCGTTGCTGCCGCCGTCGTCCTGGACGACGACGCCGCCGTTGCCCCCGTGGCCCCTGTTGGCGCGCTGCTTGCGGTACGCGGCGCGGGCCTCGCGCGAGTAGAGGCGGCGGACGATGCGCCTGGCGTGCGCAAAGACGTTCTTCATGCCCATGACAAACTCGTAGCGGTGGTTGAGGCCGATGTAGACGAGCGTGGCCGGGTAGATGGCAAAGAAGAAGACGTAGACGACCAGATTGCCGGCGGCCAGGTAGGCGGGCGAGTACGCGTCGTAGCGGGCCTGCGAGAAGATCTGGCGGTCGTCGACGATGCGCGAGATGTTGTAGAGCTTGCCCGTGTTGTCAAAGAGGCGGTTGGAGTTGATGGGCAGGTAGCTCGTGTGGTAGCCGTTGCCGTACCAGACGGCCCCGATGATGAGGCAACCGAGCAGGGCGCCCGCAAACGAGTTGATGGTCGAGAAGAAGGGCACCATCAGCGGGTCGTACATAAAGGTCACAATGTTCCAGTCGAACGTCGGCACGGGGTTGAGGCCCAGGCCGCGGTTGCCGCCGGCCCAGGCATTCAGGTTCAGGTTGTCGGGCGCGATCCACGTCATCCAGCTAAAGGTGCTGAGGGCAGTGAAGATGTAGTTGGGGAACCAGAACCAGACAAACATGAGGCCAAACGTGATGAGGAAAAACTTGATGCGCGAGGCGCGCCACACCGAGCGCCACGGCGTGGTCACGGGGCCGGCATCGTCGGAGTGGAACGCCTCGTTGAGGGCAATGGTGACCAGGCTGGTCGGCCACACGCAGTAGGCCGGGTAGACCAGGAAGCGGCGCGCCAGGCCGGCCAGGCCGTAGCCGATGAGGCTGGTCGACAGGGCCATGAGGATCTGGTAGCTGAACTGGCCGGCAAAGGCCTGGTTGAAGTACTGCGGCATGTACTGCGTCCAGATGATGTTGTCCGTGTAGGGCGTGTTGTAGGCGACGCTGGCCATGATGGTGATGAGCATGTGCTCCTTCTTGTTGAAGGGGCCCGGGTTCAGCGACAGACGCGCCGCCGGGGTGCCGGCCACGTCGCGGCCGACCAGGAGCGCGGGCAGCATGACGCCCCAGTCCGGCACGGTCTTTTCCCACAGCTTGCCAATGGGAAACGACAGCAGCTGGGCGACGTTGTTGAGGACGGTAATCTGGGGCTGGCGGATGGAGAAGAGCTGGTTGATAAAGGCCAGCAGCACCGAGAAGCCGATGCCAATGACCCACGCGCGGATCGTCGACACGGGCGTCGTGGTGTCGTCCTGGTTGCTGACGACGGCGCGCACCTCCGCGTAGGGGCTGTTGTTGGTGATGAGGGCGGCCTCGACCTTCATCTCGTAGATGAGGTCGGCGTGCTTCTCGGGCTCGTCGAACACGTATTGGTTGTCTGCGGTGTGAGTGGGCAGCAATCGACGAGGGAGGAGGGCCGAGAGAGCCGATAAGAGCCTCTGTTGACCTACTGATAAAGTTATGGATCTTGCGCAGAGCCAGGTGCGGGAAGTTAGGGTCGTTTTCGTGCATTTTGTACACGCCCGTCATGAGCTGGGTTGTCAGTATAAGCACACACAGTTAAAATGAAGCAGCAAGATACATGTTGACACTCACCACCCGAACTTCCTCCAGCGTCATCTGGCCGGCCAGTGCCTTGGCTTCGGCTAGATCGCCCTCGGTGACATTGAGCGTGCTGACTTGTTAGTGGTGACAGTGGCTACGGATCCAATTATATAGCAAGACGCACTCTTCGACGTTGGTGTCCGTCGGGTGAAGCCCGTCATCAACGGTCACGGGCTACATGTTGTTAGTGATAGTAGGAAGACGACGAGGATCCCAGTGTTCCATTGGCACCACGTCTCATATCGGAACATACGTCATGCTTCTCGTCGAAGCCGGGCTTGTGGCTCTCGACAATCTCGAGGGGCGACACCGGCGCCGGCTCCAATACCCCTTTGCTGGTCATCCTGATTTGGTGGTGACTGCTCTTGATACTGGATGTGTAAATATGACCAAGCCGAGATGCAGGACAGCGTTGTTGCGTGAGGGACAGCTTCGAAGGGAACGGAACAAGAAACGACTAGAAAAAAAGGCACGGGAGACAAGCTTCGGTTAAATAGACGAACAGGACCATGCTAGACCGGTATCGTAGGGCGGTGTATTAGATAGAAGAGACGATGGACGATGGAGGATGGACGATCTGGTCCAGAGGAGGGGTCACGAATCAGACAAAAGGACCAGAACTGAACAGAAAGGCAAGACGCCATCGGAGGCCAAGATAAGGGAGGTCGAGCACGAGATCGTTGAGTGTGGCCATTGTGGATGAAGCCGTAAGGCCAAGAGCACTTGGTTCAGAAAGGAAGGCGCTCGTCGACGCGCAGGGCCGTATCGCAGCAGTGATAGCCGGCAGATGCGAGATAGACAAGAAGGTGAACAGCGCGAATAATATAAATTAGCAAAAAGTATGGGGAAGCACGTGCGGGTGGGTAATGCCAGAGAAGGGTGGTTGGTGGCGCGGGATAGGGTCTAGAACGGAAGGTATCTTTAATTAAGGTGTGGACAAAGGGGACGAGATGGAAAAATTGAGTAGAAGAATGAGAGCATCTGTGGCCACATTGTGGCGGCTCACACAGACGTTCTCGCATCGTCGCAGATAATTAATCACGCACTGCCTACATATGCCCAGATGCTACGCCGAGGCGGTACGTGTGAAACGCCGAAGAAGGCTGTATAGAGGGCTATAGAAAGAGGCGTTCCGTGCTCACAGACGACCATGACGATACGGACACGGGTGACGGATAGGTAGAGAACCAATCACGTTTTGCAAGGCGCATATAAGCATATTTACATTTTCACTTTTTGCAAACGAGTAAACTGTGAACGTAAGCATAGCTCTACTCTGAGGTCCATTTTATTGGTGCGTGCTTGTGTCAGAGTCCTTCGTGCTTTGTTTGCATAGATAATTCGAAGTGGAAGTACCAAAGAAGGGGCTGCATGAAAAGGCCAAGTCAAGATCTAGTGAGAAAGAACAAAACCATGACAAAAGGGATGAAGGTCAATTGTACAATCTCCTGCCGAAATAGGAAGTTCAAAAGTACAGCACAATCCAACAGGATAATTACACAGATAGGAAAGCAAAAGCGAAACGTGATCAGTGGTCAATATTAGGGCTGGGCATCATATGGGGTGTCTGGGCAGTTCTCGGCAAATTCTGGGCGTGTCTTGGGCATCATTTCAGAGAGTGACAGTCAGAACGGGGAGAAAGAAAAGGAAGAGTACAAAGTAGGCGTGCCGTTATATCTACACCATAGGCAAAGCGGAATATGACCAAAGCGAAACTGCGTGTAGGAAGTTGAATCTAAAGACGAATCGTTGCAAAGAGGCTGGCATGAAGGTCCCTCGGTGCACAGGCTGTTGTGTTCTTGGCGGTTGCTTGGCTGCTCCTTGGCTCAGAAGTCGCCTTCAGCTGTAAATGTTATCTGTCCACGTTATCTGTCCAGCCAAGTCAGCAAGGACAGAGACGTCGGCAAAATGCAAAATGCAAAATCTGACTTAATGTAGAAGTCGAGAGTATATATCGTACAAATGGGAGGCACAAAGAATGGCTTGCATCGGCTGCCAGCCAACAATCAATAGTTCCAAAGACGGTTAATTGCCGTGTAAGATGCTCTTCCTATTTCGCCATATTCATGTACGAAGCAGCGGAACCGCCGTCATGTGGCGGATAGAACCGTAAACAAACGGACAATTTTGTCATCGCATTCCCCGTATTCCGCGCTTAGCTTAAGCTTCTTGGTGCGTTTCCATTACTCTTCGGATCCGGGATGGCGGTGGGGCACATTGAAACAGATTGGTATGCGAAGGGACATCGAAAAAAAGGACCGAACGCAAGTGTGAGAAAAGCGTCAGTTGTTTCGAACTGTTCAGCAGTCGTACTATCTGGGCGTGGTTTTGGTTTATAAAATTTACAATGAGGCGTCATATCGTTTCCAAGACGTCTTTTGCTTTGCAAATCATTTCATTCGCGGCAAGTGGACGATGCCAGAGCCTTGGCACCGCATTTCTGGTATGATGTATGATAGTCCCGGATGGCGATCATGCACCGGCAGGTTCGTGTCCGACTCAACTACCGCCAGCAACATGACCATCATTTGGTGCGTCATCTTTTGCGTCAAAGCTCGTCCCATGCGGCCTGTTGATCTGCTTCGACGATGACAAGATTGCTTGGCGAGGTGTGCCAAGCCAGAATGGCCTTGAGCTGCCCTTTCTGGCATCGGCCCGTATCACATTACGACGGACTCACTCACGCTCGATGAGTCCAGTAAAAAATGCTTGATGTCTATTCCTCAACGCATTGCATAACACCGACTTTATACCGCATAGAAGAGTAGCATCGTTATGTGAACATCGTAACAACCCCTACGTGGCCGGCATCTGTCGTTGACTCCAAAACGGATTATGTAGCTTAACCTGCTACCTTAACACGACTTCCACATGTCCATGTTTTTGCCAAGAAAAACTGTGCTTGCGGATTCCGTCTCCGTCCACGTAGCCTTGGATTTCGGCCATGTAAACACAAGGATAGAAGTGTGGCGCAGACGTTGCCGCGAGTGGCTTTGCAGAAGGCGAGTTGGGCTCTTTGAGACGAGGATGACGTAAAGCACAGATCTGGGATGAGAGTCCGGTACGGACCCGTATCGTTTTATGTTCTCAGTTAACTCGTGACTTGTCACTCATTTTGATTGACCTTCTATTTAATTTATATAGAGTTATTGCCCGAAGCCACTGTGGCTGTGTATTTAGATCAATACTGCAGGCCAGCATCGCGAGTTCTATAATCACGCCAAGCAATATAACAAAAGTAAGCCAGGCCTGGCTACAATCCATACTTGCAACTGTTTACAATGCCATCGTGCAAGCAACACTTCGTCTTGCATTACATGACGTACGTGCGGACGGAGAGCCACAAGGGCATATTCGTATGCACCCATTCGATTATGAGAATACCCGTCTTTCCTATCCGGCCGTGCTTCCTGCCGCGCCTGGTTTGCGTTCATCCGCCCATTTTATCCGGATGATCATGTTCGTGTGCCTGCTTTCCGGTTTGCTGTTGTCCGCTGTGCCTTGTTGTCTGTGATGATTTTTCATCTTTCCATTTCCCCTTGTTCAGTGCGTGTCTACGCAACGTTGATGAGTTGCATCATCGCGATACGCTAATCCATCATCCCTGTCATCAACGTCGTTCGTTTTATCGTTTGCGCTTTTGTACTCAGTCTCCCTTGTCGTTTTATCACTTGCCCACTTTCGTATCTACTGTCATGGTGTAGACTTCCTGTCTTGTTCTCCAACCATCCACTCGTTTCCGTCTCCGCTTGCATCACCTTGCCACGCATGATGTGGTTCTCTCTGCTCGTGGCCGCACTGGCCTTGGTGCTGCCCACGCCCGCCCTCGCCGAAAACATCCTCCGCTCCACGTCGCTCAACGCGTGCCAGGACAACTCGCAGTTCACGGCCAGCCTGCTCAACATCTACTACACACCCGACAACGGCTCGGCGTACGTGCACATGGTGGCCGTGTCGTCGATTGAGGGCTACGCGATATTCGACATTACCATCACCGTGTACGGGTTTGAGTTTCTGCACCGGCAGGTCGACCCGTGCCAGATCGGCCTGCCCGGGCTCTGCCCGATGGTGGCCGCCAAGACAGACTCGCCGCCGTTCAACCTGCCCGTCAACACGGGCGCCGAGGCGCAGATCCCGGGCATCGCCTACACGTTCCCGGACCTGGACGCCAAGGTGCGCGTGTACATCAACATGACGTCGGGCGACCAGGCCAACACGTCGGCGGCGTGCCTGGAGCTGGACGTGTCCAACGGCAAGACGGTCGATCTCGTGGGCGTGCAGTGGGCGTCGGCGCTGGTCATCCTGGCGGCGCTGCTGGCGGCGGCCGTCATCGGGCAGCTGCTGGGCCACTTCAACGCGGCGTCGCACGTGGCGGTGCACACGCTGGCGCTGTTTGGCTACTTCCAGGCGCAGGCCATGGTGGGCCTCTGCGGCATGCCGCTGCCGCCGATTGTGCAGGCGTGGACGCAGGACTTCCAGTGGACGCTGGGGCTGATCCGGCTCGACTTTATGCAGCGCGTGCTGACGTGGTACCAGCGCGCCACGGGCGGCACGCCGTCGCGGCTGTTTGACTCGCTGGCGGACGTGTCGGTGGTCGTGCACAAAACACGCAAAGCCAAGCGCGCCATCAAGACCAACGGGTCCGGCAGCTTCGTCGTCTTCGGCATCCAGCGCGCCGCCTTCCGCGCCGGCATCGAGCCGAGCAACGCGTTCCTGACCGTGCTGGGCTTCGTGACCGTGCTCCTGGTCGCCGCCGCGCTCGCCGTGCTGCTGACCAAGGCGGCCTGCGAGCTGGCTGTGCGCCTGCAGTGGACGCGCGGCCACAGCGAGCGCGCGCTGGCCTTCCGCAACGGCTGGCGCACCATCCTCAAGGGCGTGCTGTTCCGCTGCCTGCTGGCCGCCTTCCCGGCGCTGGCCGTGTTCAGCCTCTACGAGTTCACGCAGGCCGACTCGGCCGCCGAGGTCGTCGACGCCGTCGTCTACCTCGTGGCGACCGTCGCCGCGCTGGCCTACGGCGCGTACACCGTCATCCGCATCGCCTCGCGGTCCATCGGCCTGCACCGCAACCCGGCGTACATTTTGTTTTCCGACCCGCGCACGCTCAACAAGTGGGGCTGCTTCTACGTGCAGTTCCGCGCCTCCGGCTATTACTTTGCCGTGCCCCTGCTCGTGCACACGTTCGTCAAGGCCCTCCTGATCGGCTGCGCCCAGTCGTCGGGCACCGCACAGGCCATTGGGCTGATTGTGCTCGAGGCCGCCGCGCTGGTCGGCGCCGTCTGGCTGCGGCCCTGGATGGACAAGAGCACCACCTCGTTCCACATTACCATCTGCGTCGTCAACTTT